ACGAGTCCTGAGGAAGCATATCCCAGAACACATTTTCTAGAACAAGAACGAGCTCCACAAATCAACAGGTCCCATGGCAAAGTAAGCTTCAGAAGGCTGCATGTGGCTTCCCTCAGAGAGTCCACGCATGGTGGACAATTTAGAGAAGACCTTGAACTTAACACTAAGCTCAGCATTTTCCAAAGCTACCTGACCACAGGACACTTTTTTTTATTGCATATTTTATTAACATCCCATGAAATAGTGAGAAAAGGGTGGGCTCAAGATCAGGCAGCCTGCCTTTGAATCTCTGCTCCAACATTTACCATCTAAGTGACCCAGGACAAGTTACTTAACAGTGACCTTGAGCCTTAGCTTCTCCATCTATACAATGGGTTTAATAATGTAAAAATGCTTAGAACAGTATCTGGCACCTAGTGAATGTTGATTAAGTACCAGTTATTAGTATTCTACTGGAGGAACATCAGGGTATGTTAAGCTTTCTATCAAATTACCAATAGCACAGTATTTAAATATACAGTATTAAGTTATCCCACCATTCTTATAATATCTAGAAGAAATTTAATCTTCCAATTAAAGAAAACCATAGTTTTAAATTTTTTCCTTTACTCTTACCTTTTAGTTAAACAATTCAAATTCTGATCTTCAAGAAAGATCAGAAGTGAGTCACATCAAAGGCAGAGATTTGGAGTGAAGAAGTGTACCGAGCAACAGGACACAGTATGGACACAGCTTGCTCTTGGATCAGAGACAACCATCTTCCAAGGTGAAGATGCTGGAGAAAGAACTCTCGTGACCAGTAAGGTGCACTCACGCAATGCGACAGTGGAAAGGGTGAAATCTGCTTTTCATGCCCGCCTGGCTCATGCCCTCCACCACCCCATTCAAAGGGAGATTTCCTGTCACACACCCTGCCAGCCCTGCTCAACACTACAGGCTCTAAAAGTCTGTCCTCTCTCCCTCGATCAGGAAAGATTCAAAATCTCACTTGTTTTATGAGGTTATCCTTAAGAGTGTTCAGTCAGAATAAAGTACTAAAAGTAGAGTAAATGCTCTAAAACCATTTGCAAGTACAGGTGGCTGGGTGCGAGGGACCCTAAAGTCTGAACCCTCTGGCTGGAGGAAGCAGTCTCCCACCCTGACTATGCATCTTCTCTGGCTCAATGAACCCCTCTTGCTAAAGAAGACTGCAAAGTCCCTTGAGCCCTGCTTGCCATTGCCAACACACTACTCAGTGGCACCTGTGTCTTTGCACATCCATTCTCACCGTGAGCTGCATGGTGCTGGGAGAGCTCTGTCCTGGAGCTCTGGCTAAGTTATCACATGGTGATGAGTCCAGGTTTTCTGGTGACAGTACCAGGGAAGACACTAATTCAATTCTATGTCAACATTATGGACTTAATTATTACTTATCACTAACAGTCACTCACCCAGCCTCTTGGAGAGACCAGAGACCCTGGAGAGGTACACAATGCCAAGGAGTGCTAGACATGTTCTCTCCAGAGTGTAAGTCTTGCTCACCATTGCATCCTCGAGGCCTAACTCAGAGCCTGGATTATCACATAACAAAATAACAGCAAAGGTTTCTTGAATGGATGTGTGGAAAATGTATGAACAAATAACTTTGCGCCATTCTAACTTCAAACTCATGATCCACAGGGTTGGGCATTCTGAAATCTATTATTTTAACATGATTCTGATGTCCCCTGGTCTAAGAAGATAGAAGAAAGAGGATGTGATGTCACATCCCTAGCACCCCAGCACCAGAAATCAATGACTGAAAGATGTGACCCATGAAATGCCACTCAAGAGCTTCTGAAAGTTGGCCAATTACTAAATAGCTTTTCTAACTTATGTTTTATATCATCTTCTAATACACTATTTCATTTGTATCACTAAAAAATTTTAGGTACCTTAAACTGTATTGAAATAGACCTGAAACACACTTACTTGTCACACCAATTTGTTGCTCACCTACTATAAAGCAGCAAGTAGAAATATCTGCTCAGTTTTGATGAGCAGTTGTCAGTGATATTATATTACATATGTTCATAGTGACCCCCAGAGGACAGTTTTTTAAATGTGAAATTGTCTTACTACATTTCATTTCGAAATAAGAAAATTTAGTTCCTGTCTTATTTCCAAGGCCCCTGCTCACTCACTGTATTAAGGCCAACACACTTCACTGCTTTGGTATTTAAATGACATATACTAAATGTCACTTAGCATATGGATCCTAGGCTCAGATTTCAATGACCTAGTGCAGTTTGTAATGCTAGTTTCTCAAAAGCTCCATGATACCTTTAATTTATAGGTATGAAGTTATTTACAGCAAATACTACTAGGAAATCTCCCACTCAACTGAAACCTTGTCGAATGCTATTGGCCGCCATCTGCCTGAGGCAGATAGATTTGCAGGTTACCTAAAAGAAAGTGAGAACGGTCTGCAATTGCCCAGTTACTTAGGAATACAGCAGGTGAGCACACCGGTGTGGTAATGGGAGGTGTTAGAACTGGTCTTGGTGAGCCCTTCCTCTCCTGCCTCTCACACTCACTGTATTATTAACAATGCCAGGATTATAAACTCAACAGATAGTCCTTAAAAGACTGAGTAATTCACCTGTGGATGATATAACTGAGTTACTTCTCTTATGTACATTACCCCACAATTCTACTTTCTCTTTTCATAGCTGCTTAATGTGGATATTTGCCTAATAGTTGAATGTGTTCAGGTCCTTCTACTGGTATCTAACATTTCTCTTTTAAATTTAATGGATTCAACTACATTTTTTTCAATGGCAGGAAAGTCACCAAGGAATACAACTGGACATAACATTAAACTCCATAAAAACCAGCCCCTTATCCACTCGTCTATCTTTATTTATTTATTTGCTTCTTTATTAGCAGTACTTGTTTAAACTCAGGGCCTTGCACTTGTTAGGTAGGTACTCTAGCACTTGAGCCACACATCCAGCCCTTTTTGCTTTTAGTTTATTTTTCAGATAGGGTCTCACACTTTTGCCTGGGACTAGCCCTGGACCATAATTCTCCTACTTTAGTCTCACACACAGCAGGAACTGGAGGTGTACACCACCACCATACCCAGACTATTTTTTTGAGATAGATCTTGCTAATCTTTTACCAGGACTGGTCTCAAACTGCTATTCTCCTATCTCCACCTCCCAAATAGCTGGGATTGCAGGTATGAGCCACTGTGCCTAGCTTCATTCCTCTATTTTTAGTAGTCTGTACTGTAGCAAGCACACAGGAGGTGTTCAGGAAGTGGGGGAACAGATTCCTTATCTATAAAGTTAAAGACACACCTCATTGTTGTGGGAACAGCTGAAATAATGTAAGTAAAGATTCTACAAAAATGGTAAAGCACTACCTGAAAAAAGCAACTTGAATACAACAAGCAGAGCTGTGGATAAAATACAGCAAAGCTAGCAAATAAGCTACTCTGTGGAATTACAGCAATGCCAGGGTCAACCTCAGAGCACAGCACATTCACTAGGCAGTCACTGGGTGAGTCATGGCCATGGGTCAGCCTCACAGGCTAGAAATGGGTGAGGGACAACTCTGAACCTGAATCTGGAAGGGAATCCCTTCACTGCAAAGAGCTCACTGTTACAAAAGCCCCTTTTCTTGATTTGTTACATGTTAAACCAATAGTGTAGAAAATAACATTCACTCAGGGTCAAAAAAAAAAAAATCAAGAGCTTTTCAATTTTCAAAGTCTCTAGGTTAAGGTGCATGCCCAGATGAAATGCACACAGACCAGCCTTCATTGGCTTCATGCATTCTTTCCAAAAATTATTCTAGACTATTCAGCTTTCCTTGAAAAAAACCAGAAACTTGAGAAATGGCAAGTGGCCAGACAGGACTGACACAAATAACTGATCTATGTGCAACTATTTCCAAATTACATTATATATCTGGCTCCTAAAATAAATTCTGATACAGAGGCATTCTCACTGCTCAGTGAGATTTTAGAAAAGACTTTTAGCATAGAGCACAAAGGAACTATTGCATGTTTTTAATACACACTGAATTGCCCAGGAATGCAATTGCTATGAAAATCTAGGCAAGACTGTTTTTTGTCCAAAACAGATCAAGAGTTGCTCAGTATTTCAGAAAGTCACCTCCAATGACAACACGCTCTCCTGTCGTCAGTACAATATGCCCTGTAGCTGACGATTCCACATGCACGTACTACATAAAAATTAAATATATAATGCCTTAATTTTTATCTTCTAGCCTGGCTACACCATGCTTTTTAATTGAAAGACATGTTAACTTTATTAACACTTGCCTTCCTTTTCTTCTGCTTTATTTTATAGTATGGAAAATTATTATACTCATTGTCAGAATTATATGCACATATAGATTAACTCTGGCTTTCAGGATATCCAGAATAAAATAATAGCTCAGAAGTATTGAGCCTGCTAGAGTTAAGAGAACCACTCATTTCATCCAGCCAGCTCACTCTACAATGAAACTGAGGTTCAGAGAGGTGCAGTAACTTGCTCAAGTCCACAAAGCACCCTAATAAGCCAGGGAGACTAGGAGCTACCGAGGCACCCAGTGCTCCTTCCAATGCACCACCTGGCTCAAAGAGATGGTGACAAAAACTCACACTTCAGAATGAGCTGGGGACACCGGACTCCAGGGGAGGGGCTGAGGGAGTCCCCAGCACAGGGGCTTGAAGTGGCTGGTTTTGTTCTTTCCACCTGAAAAGATTTAAGTACTACTTTGGGCACTGAGCTGTCCCCAGTTCAAAGTTTCCTTTGAACAGTCAATGGTGAGGCTTGTATACAAGCCTGGTTTGAAAGTGTTTAAAACAAAAAAAAAGCAGAAAGAACATTATCTTCAAAGAACAATAGTTCATTCTTACTTTGGCCATGAACTTTCAAGAGTACTTCACAATGAAGTTGTGAAGGAAACTAAACTCACAATGAAGGGAAATAAACTCAATTTTAAATCAATAAACGATGCCCAGTTTTAGGCCTTAGGTTTAGGTGTTTTAGTCAGATGGAGTTTGTAGGATGTCTGGATTTGCAAACAACTACGTAGAGCAGGAAAAAAGGCCAGGTCAGGTACCTTTTATATTTAACACATGCATTAAAACAGTTAGAAACATTCCTAGGAGATAAACACGAGGTGATTAACATTGATCTCAAAGCTGACCTCCAATCAAATCACTGCTCTGAATTTACAAAGAAAGAAAATCCTCTCCACTAAGTAGCTCTGACATTTGGTACTCCACTAAACCAAACTCTCAAAGTAGGAACAAAGAAGCAAGCCAACTAATAATGCTCTCTCCCAAATTATCTATTTTTAGTCTGAAGTTACTGCTACTAGGATAAGCTTCCCAACAAGAGATTGGAGCTGTCTTTCAAACTTAAAAGGTAATTAAAACACCAAATTTTGGTTTCAGGTTAAAAGCTGATACCAACATTAGAACATTTATGATCAATCTGTGAACTAAAATGACCTGTCCTTCCTTTTGGACTGGCTATGATACAGACTTTCCACTTTCCACTTTTGTTCCTATAGTTGCTATCAAAGAACCTACTATTTCAAAATGGAAATCCTGAAAACCTTTGTTTCAGGACTTTGCTTCAAATGAATGTGATCCTAAATACCTATACAATTGTTTTTATGAAATTGATGGAATTTGTACCTATGAAATAAAATAAAATAAAATGCAATGTATCTAAAGTTACAAACGAGTTAAGCCAAAACATTTAACTCTCTGTGTGGAGTGAGACACAGAATTGCCTTTTCACATCATGTTAAGTGAAGTTGGAGGCAGACAAGACAGGCAGATGGAAGCACTGGAGAGGTCAGCTGTTACCATGGACTATGGTGAAGGAACATATCTGGTGGTTTTAATACCCTAGGGAGAAAAATAAACAGCTTATCACTATGGTCACTTTCTTAAATTTTCCTTTGGAATTGTCTAAACGAAAAAGGATGCCCAATGTAGGTTTACAGCAATTAAACCTCTATTGGAAGGTCCTCCTTCGTAACCTAGCCGGAGGGCCCAGAAATGGATGGTAGGAGGTGCAGGGAAAAGATATTCCTTAGGAAGGCAGACATTCATCTCACAGCAAAATGCTGGGCCTCTGAAAAAAGCATTAAAAATCAGAAAATCTTATCCACTTAACAATGTCACTTACTTGGCAATGTACATCTTATGGGAGAAGGACTTCGACTTCGAGATATCTGGAAAATATAAAAGTTGATATGAATTAGACCCAAATGGAGCTCAAAGGATGAATTACTTTTGACATTTTTTTCTCAGTACTAGCTACTTTACAACTATTGTAAACTAGGTACTTTATAACTATTGTCTCCCCCACCAGACTGACCATTATGATTCCTTTTCTGCTTTTTTGAAGTAAATGGACACTGAATTTGGTTTAAATTATTTTATTGATTAAAAGCTAAATTCAATGACCTAAGAGCAGTCATATTCAACTCAATGCTTTTCATAAAATAATAATTTTTATTATAATTAACTAATGAAAGCAAAATAATGATACGAGCTCTGGTAGATCCTTTATAAAAGTTGTCTCATGTGTCCAAAGTCTTGCACTATTAAGCAAGGTCACTGAGCAGGTAAAAAGGAATCATTTTCAAATCTCACCTTTACTTTCATTAAGCAGAAACAACTACTCTGTAACTACAAGTCTTGTGCTGGCCATACCATTGCTTCTGTTGTGAACTCTCAAACACTTCAGATAAATAGATGTTAACAAAGATAGAATCTATTCTGAATGAATCAAGACCTTAGATAAGCCCAAAAGACAGACTAACCAAAATCGTTCATGTGTACCTGATTTTGTTGTAGGGAGAGGATGATGGAAAAAAAGAAGGAAAGCTGGCAATGGCTTCACCTTTGAGAACAGAATTTATTTCCTTGGCTAAAGATTAAATTATTTTGTTCTCCCTGAGCACAGAATAAGAGACAAAGTGAAGAGGTTCACAGGTGTCCCAGGGCTCATCATAGAGGACGTTTTGAATAAAACTTCCAGAATTAAGTCCGCCATGGCAGAAGCATAAGAAGTGTCTGTCTAATGTTACTTTTTCCTCTGATGGGCGATTTCCTTTTGGAATAGGGAGACCTTTAACTTTCCCAGTATAATGCTCCCAACATTTCCTTTTTATTTATCAGCCCAATTAATGCACTATTCTTTTGCTTTTACCTACTGTAAATACTTATTCATGAATACAGATAATTGAGTTATAATAAAATCCTCCAAAGCAAAAAAATGAATCCTTTGCATATTTTTTCCATTTTCCTAGAATTTCTTAAGCCATTTTCTTTCCCTGTTAAAACTCCATCTATTCTAAAAGACCAACTCAAGTACCAGCCCCTCTTCACAAGCCATCTCTCCTCAGTGCCATGACTCTCGGCCTCTGTTTCATAGACTGTATCATATTATGGACTTATCAATCTATAGACTGTTTCACAGTCAGTTCATTTGGTTAAATCATGTTGATCGTCCTATACGGAGACTCATTCAGGAAGAAGACCAAGTTTAGTCATATTTGTGTCCCTCCCAAAAATGGTATCCACCTGAAGGAATGTTTAAGAGGGAGCCTGCTGGAGAAATAACAGGTGCTAGCTAAATTTGGTAAGGAAGGTGAGTCTTATTAATGGCAAGGTTATTTTGTTTTGCTTTGCTCTGCTTGTTTTGCAGAGGAAGTTTTGCCACTTTATGGCTTCAAATGCAAGACGAGAGACAATTTGGAAGAAGTGGAGCATAGCCAAATATTCTTCCTTCTTTTCCACAGCTCTTGTTTCTAAAACAAGCTGTAACACATATTTGAAGAATTTTTATTTGAAAGAATAGCAATTGTTAGGAATCTGGTGTTCACATGTCTTGGTCCAGCCCTATATTCAAAAGGCATTGATTAAATATTATTTGTTGAATAAAGGACAGTGGTGAATCATACTGATGTTTATGGGGGGTGTTATCTCCATAGCTTTCAGAAAGTTTTGCTGTTATTTTTTAATTTTGGTGGCAATAGAAGCAGTCTTTCCAATAACAAAAATACACACAAAAAATCTTATTTTCAATACTTTGAAGTTGGGGACAAATTAATATCCTCAATGCCCTTTATAAATTATTGGATTCTAGACTATTTGAGTAATTTCTCCAAACTCACACAGTAATTCCTAGAAGAAACCAGGACCTGAGCCCAGATCCCATACTCTGTTCAGAAGACCATCTGATCTTTAATAGTCCATGTGATTCAAAGATAAAAATAGAACTATGAATAAGTAAAGTCTATTAGTCATTGAACAACTAAAAACAACAACAACAAAAAACACTCTACTTCCTCCATTCTAGAATAGTACATTCTTATCTTATAATATTCTAAAAATCATTTCAGGTTAGTGTTATTGTAACTGATTCTCTTTCTACCTATAGGCTTATAATCACCTCTTTTATAGGCGACTATAGAAGCAAAGAAAATGTCGATCATAGGATGTTTGGTGTAAAAAGATTAGACAGATATGTACCGTGCTTAAACCAATGTGGCTACGAGGGTAGATAGGACTTAAACTCCTGCTTCGACAACGAGTTACAGATCGCATTGAATTCCACTAAAAAAGAGAGAGAAAAGTAGTCACCAATAGGTGAGAGCCAACATGGCTTAAAACAACATGTGTGTCCCATCACATGATAGATTTTACTGACAGCATTATATTTTTCCATGACTGGTCACCAGCATGAACTACAGTCCTTTCATTTCCTTTAGCTGGTCAATATTTGGCAAAAACTTCTCAAACAAAATCCCATTATAATGAACTTTGGGATATTCAGATTCTCAATACTAGTAGAATTTTTAATGAGTTTTTTATATGTGAGAAATCACATTTGAATTTGCAAGTGTTGGCAAACGTATGCTCCAAGTGGGCAGGGATTGGTGGCTGTTTTCTTCATTGTTAAACCCACTTGGCACCTAGGTGCAGTGCTTTGGTCATGAATAACAACAGAATAAATAACTATTAGTGAATGAAATGAAGCATCCCTGTGGCCTATCTACCCTCTAACTAAATTTAAAAAAAGAAAATTACGTCAAATTCACCAAGTTGCATAAATTACACACATGCTATTTTTACTCTGTGTCAATAATATCTCAATAAAACTTTCTTTAAAAAGTAAAGAGGAGAGAGGTGGGGCAAGATAGCAGATTAGAAGTGTCCACTATTTTAACTCCATGAATAAGAAGAATAAGGTAACCCAGGAGAGACTGTACTCTGGAAACAGAAAGAGAAGAGCATCAAGAATCATGAAACAAGTGCCAGGATAGCAGAAAAGCACAGAAAAAGTCAGGCAACAGAGAAAAGTAGCAAACAGTTCCAAGCCCAACCCTGGCTCCCTGGGAGGGATAGTAGAAACTGGAGATGACATCACAAGGTAAGACAGTTGGCCCTGCTGACAGACTGACAATTGCAGTTGCAAAATAAGCCCACATATCCCACAAGCTTTAAACCCAGTGCAGGTATTTGCTGAGATAATGATTGCTCCAGTGTGGAAGGCTAGCCCCCATAAAGAAAGACAATCCTATCTCAGAGGGCTATTGCACCATCTTGAAAGAGGATCTACTGATTGAGACTGAAATACTCTAGGGGCCTGAAAACAAGGACCATTCATGGCCCAGGGAGTCTTGGGACATCCTGCTACAGTAACTGGGTGGGAGACAGCCACCAGAGGAGGTCAAAAAGAGGGAGAGGGCCAGACTTGGTCCTACAGAGAAGTGCAAGCAGTGAGGATATCCTATGAGCCCTGCCCTCCCTGGTGAGGAGGGAGTCTTATCACATCACCTGAGGCTTGGGAGGAAACAAAGCACTGAGCCTATGGCTTGACTTAGTATTTGGCCTCCAGGGCCAAAAAAAGTGAAAAGTCACATAAAAAGGCAAACCTATCATAACTGCAGATTTTTGAACAGAAACTCTAAAAACAAGAAGGGAATGGAATATTTTCCAAGCCCTGGAAGAAAATAACTTTCAGCCTAGATTAATTTATCTAGCAAAGCTAGCCCTCATAATTGAAGAATTAAAAACTTTCTGTGATAAACAAAAACTAAAGGAATTCATGACCAGTAAACCAGCACTGCAGAAGATAAAGGAATCCTAGACACAGAAGAGGAAGATAAACTCAAACAGGAAAATACAGAAAAGAATAAATTCCACTAGATGAGTATATTAGCAAATGAGGGGTAAGAAAGAAACAAACAACATAAAAACAACAATATGACAGGAAATACTACATAACTTTCAATATTAACACTGAATGTCAATGACCTCAACTCTCCAGCCAAAAAATATAGAAACAGAGGTTGAATTAAAAAGCAAGACTTAAGCATTAGATGCCTACAAGAAACACATCTCACTAACAAAGACAAACATTGGCAGAGAGTAACAGAACAGAAAAAGATTTTCTAAGCAAATATATCTCAAAAGCAGGCAGAAGTAACTAAACTCATATCTGATAAAAAGAGACTTCATATCAAGTTAGTCAAAAGAGACAAAGAAGGTCTTTTCATATTAATAAAAGGAACAATCCATCAAGAAGAGATAACAATTGTTAACATATATGCACCAAACATTGAAGCACTAATTTCATTAAACAAACACTCTTAGACTTAACAAGCACAGATAGTTCCAACAAAATAAAAGTGGGAAACTTCAATACTCCATTCTCACCAATAGATAGGCCATCCAGACAAAAAATCAACAAAGAAACTTCAGAATTAAATAATCTTGTAGACCAAATGGACTTAACAGATGACAAAATATTTTATACACATTCTTCTCAGCAGCCCATGGACTCTTCTCTCAAATAGATCAATTTTAACACATAAAGCAAGTCATAATAACTGTAAGAAAATTGAAATACCCCTCTATATAGTATCATATAAAGGGGAACAAAACTAGAAATCAACAGCAAAAGAACTACAGAAAATACATAGAGACTGAACAAAACATTGTTGAATGACAGTGGGTCATTAAAGAAATAAAGGGAGGAATCAAAAAATAAAATGAAACACAACTTACCAGAACCTTTGGGATATAGCAAAGGTAGTACTAAGAAGAAAGTTTATAGCTATATAAGTGCTTACACACACACACACACACACACACACACACACACAAAGATAAACAACCTAATGATGCACTGTAAGTGCCTAGAAAAACAAGAATAAGCCAAATTAGTGGGTGGAAAGAAATAACAAAGACTAGGGCATAAATTAATGAAACTGAGACTTAAAAAATACAAAGAATCAATGAAACAAGAAGTTGATTGCTTGAAAAGATATATAAGAATGGTAAGTCCTTAGCAAACTAACCAAAAGAAGGAGGGGAAAGTTCCAAAGTAATAAGAGTAGAGAAAAAAAGGGGAAATTACAACAAATACCAATGAAATCAGATCATTAGGGAATACCTCAAAAACTTATATTCTAGTAAACTGGAAAATCTAGAAGAAATGGATAAATTTCTAAATGTATTTGACCTACCAAAATCAAGAGGATATAAACCACTTATTTTTTTAAATTTTATTATTCATATGTGCATACAAGGCTTGGGTCATTTCTCTCCCCTGCCCCCATCCCCTCCCTTACCACCCACTCCGCCCCCTCCCTCTCCCCCCACCCCTCAATACCCAGCAGAAACTATTTTGCCCTTATCTCTAATTTTGTTGAAGAGAGAGTATAAGCAATAATAGGAAGGAACAAGGGTTTTTGCTGGTTGAGATAAGGATAGCTATACAGGGAGTTGACTCACATTAATTTCCTGTGCATGTGTGTTACCTTCCAGGTTAATTCTTTTTGATCTAACCTTTTCTCTAGTTCCTGGTCCCCTTTTCCTATTGGCCTCAGTTGCTTTAAGGTATCTGCTTTAGTTTCTCTGCGTTAAAGGCAACAAATGCTAATTTTTTAGGTGTCTTACCTATCCTCACCCCTCCCTTGTGTGCTAAAGCTTTCATCATGTGCTCAAAATCCAATCCCCTTGTTGTGTTTGCCCTTGATCTAATGTCCACACATGAGGGAGAACATACGATTTTTGGTCTTTTGGGCCAGGCTAACCTCACTCAGAATGATGTTCTCCAATTCCATCCATTTACCAGCGAATGATAACATTTCATTCTTCTTCATGGCTGCATAAAATTCCATTGTGTATAAATACCACATTTTCTTAATCCATTCGTCAGTGGTGGGGCATCTTGGCTGTTTCCACAACTTGGCTATTGTGAATAGTGCCGCAATAAACATGGGTGTGCAGGTGCCTCTGGAGTAACCTGTGTCACAGTCTTTTGGGTATATCCCCAAGAGTGGTATTGCTGGATCAAATGGTAGATCAATGTCTAGCTTTTTAAGTAGCCTCCAAATTTTTTTCCAGAGTGGTTGTACTAGTTTACATTCCCACCAACAGTGTAAGAGGGTTCCTTTTTCCCCTCATCCTCGCCAACACCTGTTGTTGGTGGTGTTGCAAAATGTTGGCTATTCTAACAGGGGTGAGGTGGAATCTTAGCGTGGTTTTAATTTGCACTTCCTTTATTGCTAGAGATGGTGAGCATTTTTTCATGTGTTTTTTGGCCATTTGAATTTCTTCTTCTGAGAAAGTTCTGTTTCACTTGCCCATTTCTTTATTGGTTCATTAGTTTTGGGAGAATTTAGTTTTTTAAGTTCCCTATATATTCTGGTTATCAGTCCTTTGTCTGATGTGTAGCTGGCAAATATTTTCTCCCACTCTGTGGGTGTTCTCTTCAGTTTAGAGACCATTTCTTTGGATGAACAGCTTTTTAGTTTTATGAGGTCCCATTTATCTATGCTATCTCTTAGTTGCTGTGCTGCTGGGGTTTCCTTGAGAAAGTTCTTACCCATACCTACTAACTCCAGAGTAGTTCCTACTCTTTCCTGTATCAACTTTAGAGTTTGTGTGGTCTGATATTAAGATCCTTGATCCATTTTGAGTTAATCTTGGTATAGGGTGATATACATGGATCTAGTTTCAGTTTTTTGCAGACTGCTAACCAGTTTTCCCAGTTTTTGTTGAAGAGGCTGCTGTTTCTCCATCGTATATTTTTAGCTCCTTTGTCAAAGACAAGTTGGTTATAGTTGTGTGGCTTCATATCTGGGTCCTCTATTCTGTTCCACTGGTCTTCATGTCTGTTTTTGTGCCAGTACCATGCTGTTTTTATTGTTATTGCTTTGTAATATAGTTTGAAGTCAGGTATTGTGATACCTCCTGCATTGTTCTTTTGACTGAGTATTGCCTTGGCTATTCATGGCTTCCTGTGTTTCCATATAAATTTCACGGTAGATTTTTTCGATCTCTTTAATGAATGTCATTGGAATTTTGATGGGAATTGCATTAAACATGTAGATTACTTTTGGGAGTAGCGACATTTTTACTATGTTGATTCTACCAATCCATGAGCATGGGAGATCTCCATTTTCTATAGTCTTCCTCAATCTCTTTCTTCGGAAGTATATAGTTTTCCTTGTAGAGGTCTTTCACATCTTTTGTTAGGTTTACACCTAGGTATTTGATTTTTTTTGAGGCTACTGTAAATGGAATTGTTTTCATACATTCAT